ATCATTAATATAAATAAGGAAGAGAAGTGGTCCAAGAATACTTCCCTGAGGAACTCCGACAGTTACTGGTTTGGGTTGCGACATTGAACTGTGATCACGGTTACTTGGGTACGGTTTGATAGATACGAGCAGAACCAGTCGAGAACAGACGAGGTAAAACCGTTGTTTTCAATTTCTCCAATAAGATGGTATTGTCTACGGTATCAAAATCTTTCCTTAGGTCGATAGAGACGGCACCAGTGATTTTTCTGTGATCGAGATTATCCAGTATCTACTCAGTAAAATGTGCCAGAGCAATGGTGGTTGACAGTTTGGAGGGAAAACCGACTTGCAGTGGGTCAAGCATTCAGGTAGATCATTAATATAAATAAGGAAGAGAAGTGGTCCAAGAATACTTCCCTGAGGGACTCCGACAGTTACTGGCTTGGGTTGCGACAGCTATTCATGACAGCCCGCCGTATATTTGAGATCAGTGAGGATGACCACCCACGGTTGGGCACCCACGCTCGCGATATTTGATAAACTTTAGACTTCGCTAATGCTTTCGTTCCCCCGTGTGTAAATAGCCGGCGGGAATTAGTACCCTCGCACGGCGATTCGCGCCGTCGACTCGGGGATTAAACAATCAAATGTAACTGCCAGTTATAGGTAGCAGTAGCAGTAGTGGAAGTCAAATTTGAACCTTTCTCTATGGATTTTAGAGAGACCAATAATTATTTGTTGATGCATTATTATAACTTGTATAAATAATCAAAAGCTAGTATATTCATTTATGATGTTAAAAATTGACATGACTATCTATAAAGTGAAACTAATTTTAAAACAATATTCATAAAATTATTCATGCAGGTAACTGAATAAAACTTGTAGTGTATGTTCATTCTGAATCACTAAAAATCTTTTGACATTATTCTTCCAGTACAGTAACACAGGTTGCAGATATTAGGTTGCATGTCCACCAGTGTGCTGAAATACCATCCAATGATCTGGTCTTGTTCAATCATTGTTACATCTTGCTTAATTTAACTGATTCTGCCCTATTTCTTGTACCCATAAATTTCTTTTTAATAATCTAGAAAACTTCAAAATCATTCAATAAATTTAATTTTAAAAATGAGTAAAAGGTCAATAAACGAAGTAAACACTTCTCCCTATACATGCATATGGCCCCTATCTCTGTCCGGTGTTAGATTGTAGAGTCGTCGGACTGCAGAGTTGCACTTTTTTAAAATAAGTTGTAAATGTAAGGGCAAGGAAACAAAATAATTAAATTTTGAGATTCGGGGGCAAGTTTTTACAATGGGGTGCTAAACCTTTTCCCTAAAAAATCTCTGAGCCGTCTTTGACCAGCTGCAGTTGTCATGTATATTAAGAATACTCATTAACTCGCTAACATTAAATAATGCTGAAACTGATTTTGACTACAAATGTCCTAGCAGTTCAAGACCTTGATCGTTCATCAGATTTTGGCTCATTTAAATAATTTCACGTCATTAAATGTAAATGTATATATTGTGTTTGACTGCCTAATATAATAACATTAAAAACAAAGCATTTGAAGTTACTGCTGTAGACTGTATTTACTGTAAACACGTTTCTCGCAGCAATAAATGAATATTGCAAATAATAATGATGTGAGAGTAGAACTTTACTGTGGGGCATTTTTTAACTATATAACTACTGGGGGCATTTACTCTAGTAGGCCCTTTGCTTGCCCTAATAGTGAGTCAAGATTTTCAGATAAACTGGCTTTTGATCTATTGATTAATAATGATTAATAAAAAGTCAACCTTCTTAAAAAAGCTGCATCTGCCAGCTCATTCTCGACATTCCATCTTATAAAAGTCAGAAGAGACAGGGAGCTAAGGGGCGGAGTTGTGGTATTTGAAACACCCCCTGTCGTTAGGTATAGTCGGTGAATTATCTAATCCCGGTTGGATAGGAAGGAATGAAACAAATAACTGCAGCTAAATTTAAAGAAATGTATAAAAAATTACGGAAAATTAAACAAACACTGCTAAGTTAATTGAAAAGAAAATGAAAAGTTTAATGGGTGGAACGTTTTTTGATCTGGAGCCGTAAGTCCCCCAATCGTCAACCATTTTGGGACAATAATTTTATTTCTTTATTAAACTTTGCCAACACAAACGTGCACACAAACATGACATTATAACAGCGGTACATGTACGTCACTGAATGTAACAACGAATGGCGCGGACACGACAACAGTTTAAACCAATTACTGTCGGCCCTGGGGCTGGTTGTATGAAGCCCATTCAGCTTAATAAACTATCGTTAAGCTCAAAATAGAAAGTCTATAGATTAATTCAACAACCAAACTAAATGTTTTGAAACTTAATAGAATGATAATGTTTACCACTATACATATTCAGTGCACAATATTTAAGTTGACTGATTCACGAAAGATATAAGAGTTGAATTTTATTTTGACTTATCCACCGTTTAAGCTAAACGGGCTTGTTATACAGTTAGTGTTAAAGTTCAATTTCTCTGTTTTCCGATTGGTCAAAACCGTATCACGTGCAGGTCCACAAAACGTCATGTTCACTGCGTGTTTTGCCGAGGAGGCAACCGGTCCACAATGAAACATTTATTGACCAGTCAATAATAAAATGGGTACAATACGCATGCGGGTCAACCATGAAGTTCCAAATTTCATTTTTATATGTATTTTATATTTCATTTTCAATTTCCTGATGTGTAAGTCGCAGCAATAATTAGGGAGCTTAAGCATGTAGGACGGCAACACGACGACGACGGCCAAAACAAATTCCTTCAAATAAATGATAGTAAAGAAAACTTGTCGTATATTATAATTTGTATGAATTTAATACAGTATAAGAAGCTGAAAACATTGGCTTTATGTTTGAGAAGAGTTCCATTGACCGAACTTTAAGTTGCACTTGTTACGGCTTGAAATGCAGGCGTTGTATAAAAGACGTGAAAATATGTGATTTGCCGTTGTAAACAGAGCGACGACCACGTCTGAAACTCCCCTGGGACCTCAATTATTTATTCACTTTTCATTGACTCATTGTATTGATTGCCGTCGTCGTCGTGTTGCCGTCCTACATGCTTAAGCCCCCTATTATCTCGCACGACATCGCCTTCAACTACAACAAGCTATTTAATTGTTCATATTCCAAAGGCAGTTACATCTTAAACTATTGCCTTCCACGTTCTCGGATCATCTGTATTATAACGACTATTGAGGACATTTAAAGTTCTAGTTACGCGCACGAAGAATAAACATTAGCTGACGTTGATACGTGGAAGTCCTGCATTTTCGTGAACGAAACGATATATATGCCTT